TTTCCTGACTAATTCCCATCTTCATGCTTCCATTCTATTTTCTTTACTTTTCCTCGCCATTGGTATTATTTTTTTCTTTTAACTGATTTCCCCTACTCTCTTACCTTCGCTTTTCTTTCTCGCTTACCTACTTCACGTAACTGACATAGTTGGGACAGCTAATATAAGGAACGTGGGCATTAACTTGGTGGACCAGGGTGTTCTTTCGGGTGTTTTCATTTTAGACCCATCAAAAACTCGGAGCACCCCTGTCAACTCCTGGATCGACGACCCGCTCAAGTAGGAACACTTACGTGATTCATCCTATCGTTCCAGTCCCACTTGAACTTGAACATGACCCTTGATGGCGATGAACTCCCAAAAGTTGACAAATTCCCTTACTTTGCAGCTGCGTCAACAACCATGGGACATCACCCTGAAGTCATTTCGCCTATTGCAAATGCCAGGATTGCCTTCTTGAATATGTGGCACCAAAAAAGTGTTTCTTCCTCTGATAGGCCGTGTTTACAGGGCAACAGTGAGGGCCATCGTGATATATGATTTGAGGATCTGAGAAGCCTTCAAATGTCTGATCATCGCTGTCGGAGAGACATTGCCGGTCGCGGGAGGCACTAGGGTGTTCGCAAAGATGATGTGCGTAGGGGAGTGTTAGGCTAGTTCCTTACAGCAGTTACGTCGGTTTGAACACGTATTACTTATGCCCGGTTATCGCTTACCGAAGAGCGTTTTTATTTTGCCCGATGTAGGGTGGCGCTGGTCTGGGGGTGGGCTGCGTGGAATGAAGTCACTGACGACTGACAAGACTTGAATCATACCGAAATCCGTCTACTCATTCGTAATTAAAAACCAGGTTTCGTCGATCTGTCTCACCTTCCAGACTGGAGTCCATGTGACCCACCTTGTGCTTGGCTTGAGACGTTGCAGGACATGACTCGCATTTAGCGCTGGTGGCGTGTCCCTTGTCGTCTTCTAGCCAGCCTTTTTGTTTAAAGCGTGTTTTGCACTATGTATGGGATAATTTCCGGTTATGACGTGCGACAGTGATAGCCACAATTAAGACGTTTCGCTGATGACTACTTATTTCTGCACTACATCCAGCTGTTCATGATGCTATGTTGTTTACAAGCTGCAGGCGTTTCATTGTTTGATTAGGGCATTACGGATTTACTCTAGGTCCCCCTTCTCTCACTCTTATTATTCTACGTTCCGTAGGTCATTCTGGTTGTGGCAGTAGAACATCAGTTCAAATGACAGATGTGGTGCTTTCGATGATAGTTGCGATTACATAGTGCTGGCTCCCTTCAAATGACTCGGTTAACGAATCTTCTAACCGAATTCTTTGAGTAAGAAACCGTCCTGAGTTCCAAATTTGAGACGGGTTGCTTGTGCTTGTACAATCTCACTATAATCATTGGGAAGCTCCTTTCACCTTGCACGCCTCAGGTTTTCAACTCACTTCCTGTTTTCTGAGACTAAAGGGTAAGGTTGGATAAATTGTTTGTGTTTACCGCAGCTTACCCACAACGCAAGGAGTGAACAAAGGGCTTTCTGAGCTGCTACTACGAGCTGCACGTTCAGCGCGACCTACTAAATGCCAGCTGGGAGGATGCTCACAACTGGGCACCTTTTTTAGATGGGTGCAAGAACGTGCATTCGTGCAGCACGCCCGTTTTCCAGTAAGAGAACGCGGCAGGAATATTTATCCTTGTTGTGATCACTAGACATAGTCATTCGTCAACCAATACGTATACGTAAAAGCGATCACTTTGTTTTTTCCTTCTCCATTTATTTGCCGAAGCCATCAGCTGAACTCCGCTTGTCGCGGAATCTCATTCGTATTAGTGCCATGCTTTTGATGGATAGAACCGTGCGCATTACTTGGGTTCGTGAACAAGGGGATGCAGTGTTGGAACAGAGGCGCCATGTGCTCACAGGCGGTCTCACGTAGAATGCACTACTCGAACAAGCCTCGTTGGTTGCACCGCAGAATTGATAGAGCGTTGAAACCGCTTTATGGAAAAGATTCCACGAGTCCGGTGGATTCCGTAAGGGGCTGAGCTACAAAAATATCGGAACCTGCTCATCAAATTGCAGATGCGCGCCAAACACTCGTACGAGATTAAGCTGGCTCTTAGTGTAAAGATGAATCCGAAACACTACTACAGCTGCGTTCGTCCGAAGTTTTTCTTAAAGGAAATCTTTGACGACCTATTCCCAAATATACTTCGGATTACGGTAGACCTAGATAAGACACATGAGTTGCTAATTGCCTTTTAGTAAACTCATCGAGCAAATAGCGGGTATTCATTCCATTCACGGTCGCATTTCGTAAGCGAGAGGAAACAGGTGAAATCACTCTAATTGCATCGAAGTTTTCTATCCTAAAGGACCTAAACCCCCTACACATTACCTGGTCCTAATGACGCGCATCCAGCTATTGGCAAACCGATTGTCGATAGGCTCCAACTTCCAGTTCAGAAATTGTACATTAAGTCTCTTCGTGAAATTAGGATACCGCAGGATTGGAAAGTGGTGATCTACAAGGGGGTTCTAAACCCTAGACCAATAGTTACAAGCCTGTTAGTCAGACAAGCGTACTTCTAAAGTATCCGCGAAAGCTTATTAGAGGTAGAATCTGTGAATATCTGACCGTCTACAACCTGGTCGGAGTGGAACAGCTTGGCTTTGTCAAAAGTTATCAAGCCTTACCAACCTGCTGTGTTTCCTTGATGAGATAACTCGATGTTTTGATGAACGGGTACCGGTAGAAGTATGTTATCTTGATTTCAGTAAAGCGGTACGGTAAGTCACCACTTTCTGCCTGAAAACATGACCTGGTTTGGGCTCCACTCTCAACTGCTTTCTCGGCTGCCTGCGTTTTTGACGGCAGGACAGTTCGTGTTGGGATTGGTGATGGTACTTGGAGTGCATGTACTACTCCTAGTTGAATTACCCAAGTTTCAGTACTCGGTCCGTTGCCGTTTCAAATGCCTATCAATAACATGACCCTTTTACTTGTGGACCCGTTATTTTTTGGTGCTGGAGATTTCAAGCTTGTTAGTAAGAAAAACGTGGCTACATTCTTTACTCTTATTGGGTGGTCACGCTCATGGGATTTGCCTCAGAACGCCAGTGTATGTCAAATCCTGACTCCGAGTGGTGAAGAGATTTTATTGCATACACCTATTGATTTCCTGACACTGCAGTATGTTACCGAAGCACGCGATCATGGTGTCATCTTGGCGAATAATCACAAGCTGTCGGCGCAGTCAGCATGTTGCTAACATAGCACTACAAGAGTTATTTCGACTCAAGATGGCTCTAAGTTGGACCAAGCCAGAAGTTTTTATCCTCTGTATAAAGCATTGGTTGAACCACATCTAAAATACTGTATTCAGACCTGAGCACCCTACCTGCAGAGGGATATCAATTGTATTGGGAATGGGCACTTGCAACTCGTGATCCATTCACAGTTAGGATGTCTCAACACAACAGGCGTCAGAGGCATTCTTCATGGCACATTTGAGAATCGCAGTCAGCGTTCGGCTCACCAACGACGATGACAGTACTAAGCTCCACTAGCTGAGACATTTGTTGTGTATACGAGCACACCGACTCTCGCGCGGTGCGTTGTTTTCGTTACCGTTGTCTGGATGGAGGAAGGGGCAAGGCCCTGACTTCAAATTGGCCTCAGCTAGAGCCACATCTTTTTGGCTGGGTTTCACTTTAAAAATGTCAAAAAGCCGATCTCACTAGCGTTTGCATTATTTCTTTACCCCTCCTCATTCCGCTTAGTCCCCCTTCCAACCACGATCTCGTCGTCGTTACACGACATACAGCACGGCGTAATAGTATTTTTTGGTTTGCTTTCTTTCTCCTTTTATTGTCACCTAATTGCATTGTGTTGTGGCGCAATAGCTACTGGGTAGAATGAACGAATAAATATTTCCGTTATTTCCTCGCTTCCCACTATCTCTGGTTCTGTCTCTTAGGTGGTTGTGATAACGACATGCGACCACCTATGAGACATTAGTTTTGCATTCTGACTCCCCAGGCCTTTTGCGACTTACTTGACATTATATGTATAGGAGAACTAGGAATCTCAGGTTGAACGCTTCCTGCCCTAATGTGGTTGCAACTCTGCGAATGCTGGAGACGATATTGTGGTCTCTTACTGGCGTTATTAGTGTAGCTGACCTTGCTCATACTCCATTTCTCCTGTTCCGTCTATTTCCGTAGCTTTTGGTGATCGCATCCTTTTTGTTGCATTTGAGTCTCATCGGTGCATTTCATTAGTGTTAAATTGTTTGGTTTATTTGTATGGGATTGATGGTGGAAGTTAAGTGGTTTAAACGAAACAGACGACCAGCAGTTTTCTGAAGGCGTTCTCCACCGTTTCACCTTTTCAGGATTCGTCCATAGCGCGAATTTCTGCTGGTTAGAGGCTGTTAACCGTGACTCACTTTCCGCATCCGAATTGCTTAGGATGTCATGAGCTGAGGTGACTTACCCATGGTCACGTAATGCTGTACACCACTGACGTGCACCTTGTTGCTGCACGGGAGACTAATCATTCCACATATTACTTTTTGCTTCCAATGGGCGTTTGGCTTTCTGAACGATTTGTATAGCGTTCTCTTTGTAGTTACGTAGCACTGAGATCTAATAATTTGATAGGATTCTTCACCAGTGGTATGAGTCGCCCCATCTCACGGCAAGTTACTCTGCTTTATCGGCTATCGACCTCTGCTGTGGATCAAGTCTTTGATTGTAGAAGTTGAATCACTTTTTCATGACCCTCTAGCACACCTTCGGATGTTACAGACCGTTTGCTTGCGTTCATTCGTGATGCTTTTTATTTGGTCTCTTCGTCGTCGCTTTACAGATGTTCTTCCTTTTCGTTTAGTACACCATTTTCTTCATTTTCACTCAGCCTGCTTGTAATGCCAAAACGGGCTTTTAGGTTACCTGATGCAGAGGTATAACCCACTTTTCTTTCAGCTTACTGGAGTTACTCCGCCTCCTAACCGGATCTTTGCAAACGACACTGGAAATGCCCATCGCAAGTGTTTTGTCTTTTTTTACATAATTCTTTCTAGGCACCTTCCCTATACTCTATCAAATCCATTCTCATTCTGGATGGGGATGGGAAACGTATCGTCGGCAAGGCAGGTATCGTTATACACTCATTTCGTCCTTCAGTATTATAACTCTGTCCTCACTTGTCGCAAAGAGCAGATTGATTTTGAATCCAAACTTTTCAAGAAAACAAATAAATCATCTGGAGGTTAGTTTTCCAAACAAATTTTTGACATCTAACATCAGTATTGTCATATGTATGACTTTTCGCAATTCGCCGATTATTTCCGTTAGTTTTCATTATCAACAATAGGCCCCTCCGCTCTATATCTTGCTTTGTTGCCATATAGTCTTATCGAGGGATAAGGACTAGCTTGAAAGTGGCGAGAAGTTCAATATTAAGCATAAATCCCCGAAACAAATAACTAAAATCAGGACGGCTGCATCTCGTCGACGTCATGCGTCCACAAACGGCTTGCATCCACCGAACCGTTTAATCGCAACTTTCTCTCTTTCAGATTACTCAATACACTATTCAACAAGCAATTCGGCTGGTTGACGGCTGCAGTCACGCAACCATAGCTGGTTGTGCTTCACCTTCAACCATACTCGGGGTGGACTGCGTGAATCTCAGCCTGGAAGGTGATACGGACCAACCATACCAAATCCAACGATCGGCGATCACATTTCTTGCTTTCAGCTCGAGGGCCGACCACTTGAAACTTGCTCCGCTAATCAGCGGAACATACACACGTGATGGCTCCTAAATCATCGCAGCTTATTTCTTTTTACTTCTCGCTTCATACTGTTGACTATCACCACTGAGCGCTCTTGCGCAGTACATCGTTACCGGGAATGCTGCTGTCACCTGATGCCCGGGATTCTCATTAAACCAAAACGACTGAGGGTGCTTGATATCTTATGGCCGAAAGGTCTGGTTCTCAGTTCTGTGGGATAGAAGAGCTCTCACTGTGCTCCTTTATACAGCAACTTCAGTTCAGTCCAATTCGGATGATCAACTATGATCCGAGCACAGAAGGGCGGTGGATCCAGTTGCTACGACTCACATCGCAAGAATAACAATGACTAACAACGGCTAAAGGCAAATAACATGTAAAAGGATGGAAGCAAGAGGGAAGTACAACAAACTGATCATAATGGAACAAAAATTAACGATCAGATGCAAGAAAACGAATGCAAGAACGCCACTAACTGCGTGATTGCGCCATGTCTGATACGGTCTCCGACCGTTGGTGTGGACCATCCCGAGTCCGCGATCCGCGAAGGCGGCACGCACCAGCCCGAGCAAGTCTCTCCGTCAATTCCTTCATGCCTCTATGCCACGTCATGGAATGCTCACCTCGCGGTTTCGCTGAAATTGGTGCAGCCACGGCGTATAATGCATTCCGAGGAAGCCAGTCATTGGGCATACGGAGGACATGACCAAGCCAACATAAGCGACTATGGTCCAGCAAACACTCGAGTAAGGTATCAGAAGGCATCTTGCCAAAAACCAACTGACGGACCTCAGCATTGCTCACCGGGTGTTTCCACCGGACGTGAGCAGCACTCCGCAAGCACCGGTGGTCAAACACGGCCAAGTGTTTAATGTCCTCGTCGCGAACTGGCCTGGTCTCTGATCCATACAACAAAACCGGCCTTTTCCCAGCGTTATACACCCTACCTTTCACTAACAGGCTTATCTCCCGTCGTCTCCATAAATGGTTGAGCCTCCGGAAAGCCACACGGGCCTTGCTGATACGCGAAGTAACTTCCTCATTGATGTGACCACCGGAGGTGACAGCTACTAAGGCAAGTGAACCAGTCCACCACTTCCAGTGGCTGGTCAGTGGTAGTTAAAACAGCTGTGTCAGCCCAGTTCTACGGCGGTACTTTGCACTTTGAAGGTGCAAAGCACATGACGAAGCGATTCAGTCTATCCGGCGTTGTTTGCATAGCCACTGCGTCGGACCCAAGAAGAGCTGTCGTCCGCATACTCCAGGTTTGTCAGTCGGTCACCTGGTAGAACTTCCACTCCGATAAGCAGTGGAAGTCACTCATAATCATTTCCATGACAAGTTGCAAAGGAAAGGAGATACAGGACAACCCTGGCGACGCCCACTTGTCGTGGGGAACTCAGGAGGCAGTTTCCTGTAGGCACTTACACGGCCTCAGCAGTCACGGTAGAGGGTGTTCAGAATGGAAGGGAATTTAGCCGGCAGTTCCACAAGCTGGCGCGGCCAACTGAGTCGAAGGCAGCCTCCAAGTGAAGGCAAACGGCCATAGTCGCTCGTCTGTATATGTCTCTGCTCTAACACTTGGCGGCGAGTAAATATATGGTCGATACAACCACGACCAGGGCGGGGACCACTAAGTCGTCGAAGCATAATACCCATGAGGAATTTTGAGACAATAGAAATAATGCTAATGCCTCGATGATTTTCGCACAGAGTACACTGGCCCCTTTTGAATATGGGCGCGACAGTTGTTGGTCGCCAGTCTTGCGCATGCCAACCCACCGACTCCCGCAACGTGCGTTGTTTGCGTGCCGTGGGTACGGATAAAACGTAGCCAAGCGATGACTCGGTCAAGAAGAATGATGGTCGTTATTCCGAAGTTGGCCTCTGTTGGAGCCTCTAGGCTCCCTACTTGGGGTCCGAAAGACAATGAACACGTTTGGTTGGATACAATTTTGACATGGATGGAAACCCATCTCTGTGGCGTTTGTGTTGGGAGTTTCTTTGTCCCTTTTCCTCCCTCTTATCCTCCACCTCCAAACACGATCTCATTTATTAGGCATAATATAACTCTTTTTTGCGGCACAATAGCCGACTGCTAGCTCTCCAGAACGATGTACATCCGTTGCTGGTGACTCAGCCGGTGTACTTCTATTGCATTTTTCTTTTGTGTTGCGACACAATAACCGGGATGTTTTTTCCACCTGCAACTAACGTGTATAATGAATGCTATAAGGAGTCATCTGTCTGAATGTACCTCTTCACGGTTCCGAATCTTGCCAAGTAGAGAGTGGCAAGTCCAGTCAACAAAGGTTCACCACCATCTTTCAGAAAAGATGGAGGAAGGTCGTAGGGTTCAGCAGCCTTGTTTCGTTTCAACACGGGAAGCTCATATCGGTTCTCCTTTAAAGTAAAAGGAGCCACGTCTGCTTTCCACGACGGTCCAGGCGACTATGTTGCAGCAGACCTGCTGGACTTCTCCGCAACGCCCAACGATCTAGTCGACGAGACTGAGAATGGATTAACAGTCCATGCTTCTCAGCTGTTGTCTCGCTAACTGAGAACTTTCTCTTACACGTATTCCGGATCAGCTGAAATAGCTCTCGACTGTTTCCAATAGCGCTGACTTTCGCCATCTCACGGACCTTTGCAACACACCAACGTTCCCGGTCGATTCGAAGACTCCTTGCGATGGAACTTGTTTCCGTGCTGCGATCAAGCTGATCAACGTCTCAGAGATCCATTCGCAGTTACGTCTCAAGTTGTGTGCACAGCATGAGTCAAAGGCATTCTTCGTGGCACATTTGTGAGGATCCCAGTCAGCATACGATTCACTAACCTCATTCATCACTGACACTTGGTGGGCCAGTTCGCCGTGATATTGCTGAACTGCAGATTGCGAGTTCAAGTTGCACGTAAGAAGCTTAGAAGATAGCCACTTCTTTGAAACGGGAAGTGTGAGCACCAAACGTGCGCGCATTAGAGCATGGTCGGAATCTAGGTACGTGCTCCAAATTGACCGACAGTGCTGGACTGATGTGCGCCATTTGTAGCTGATGGCAGTATGGTCAATTCGTGTCCAAGTCATTGAGGAATTCGTTGAGCGACAGGTGACGCGATGTGAACATTTATGCTGGGATGCAGTGCTGCTGATATAAAGATTGTGGTCGGCGTACAGTTGCATCGACTCCGAAGCGGCCGCACAGGTGTTGTTCAGAGTCTGAAATGCGATGCGTTCGGGTCTTCATGTCATCATCAACAATCACGATGTCGGTATTCTTCGCCACGGCGTCGCAGATTTCTAGCTGCCCAATCTGTGAACGGTCACACGCGATTCCGAAAAACATTCAACTGCTTGGTCGTTTTCTGTTCGTTTGTCATTTTCAAACAGCCAACATGTGTCCTGTATTTTTATGACAGTACTTTACTCTGCAAGTGCTAAGCGCGTACCATGTTATGTGACTACCCCAAAAAGATGGTCGATGTTTAACTCTGCGATCTCACAGTCGTTAAGCAGCACGATAGTGTCGTCTACATAGTGCCATCAGGTCCAGCTTTAGTAAATGCACCATTAAACTATAGATGGGTACAGTTCTTGATAAAATCTAACTGAAGAGAAGAAGTTGGGTTGAGGAAAGAATTATCCGACTACATTTTAGTGAAACTGCAGCAAAAATCAAAGCATTCGTCATTTTCTTCTCTGTGTTTCACTTCTGTCTCCACTTTTCATTTGGAAGATCAACAAACTAGCTTTATTTAACTGGGGGTTTCAACTCACGATTAGATCACCTGTCCCCATCATCATCAACAGCAGTACATCCGCAAGTTGAACTGATGCTTCGCTGCCGTACAACCACAGTGACCCACGGAACGGAGGGAGAGAAGGGGACCTACGGTAAATCCTTAATGTCGTAAACAAACACTCGTGATCAAGCCGCCTACACCACATCAGCAACATACCGTCACAAACAGCTGGCTATTGTGCAAAGATAACGCGACATCAGCGCAAAAGCTTCCTTGTGGCTTTCACTGCCCCGCGTCATAATCAGCCATTACCCCACAGATAACTCAGCACAAAGCACACTTTAAACAGGCAATTGGACTAGGGAACGATTGGACGTCACTGATGTCGACTGCGATCAGTATCCCCTAACGCCTTGAGCCAAGCACAAGGCGGGTCAAGTGGACTTCCGCCTGGAAGGCGAGACGGACCGATAGCACTGAGTTGGGCCGTCAGTGACTTCATTTCCCGCTGCCAAGTTAATTTTGGCCCACGTCAGGCCTTGCGCCACACTGCATTTGGCAAACAAAACAAGGCGCTCCTCGGTAAGCGGTGACAAGACATTCGTAGTACGTGCCCAAGCCGGCGCAACTTATTCAGTGCTATCTCTTGTTCTAAGGAAATATCCGGGTTATCACTGCCTAGTAATCGCTTACGCACATCATCGTTGCGGACACGCTGGTGCCATCC